AAATATTAACAACATATTGAAAATGCAAGAAATATGAAGAAACAATTGGAAATGCAATAAATATTAACAACATATTGAAAATGCAAGAAATATGAAGAAACAATTGGAAATGCAAGAAATATTAACAACATATTGAAAATGCAAGAAATATTAACAAAATATTTGAAATGCAAGAAATATTAACAAAATATTGAAAATGCAATAAATATTAACAACATATATATATTAGGACATTAAACTTAATATAACGAAAATTACAAAATACTTACCGCGTTAGTACGATTTTCCCCACTTCTATACAAGTTCATCGCTTTTGCCAAGGCATTTCTCCATTTTGCCATCTCTTTGTTGAGAAGTTTCCACCTACTCGACAATGCCATTTCCGTACGAGGCGAGTCCGGAATTTTTTCGCAAAATTCGGCATGAATTTTTTTCCACATATGGAAAAATTTCATCTCACTGCCTGTCAAGGGACAATGACAAACTCGGAGCCAAGCCTCACACAAAGAAACATCTTCCATGGTGCTCCACGCCCCTCCGGTTTCAATAGAAGAAGCCATAAAAATAAGAAATAAAATTACAAGGTGAAAGAGATGAAAATGTTGAGTGAAGAGTGAAGAAAATATTGAGTGAAGAGTGAAAAAAATGTTGAGTAATTGTAGAAGTAGAATAAAATGTATGAGAATTGGTATTGAAAGTGAAAGGTATTTATAGGTATTTATAGGAAAAAAAAAAATCAGAATTTTTTAGTATTTTTTAAAAAAAAATTTCGATTTTTTTTCATAATTTTATTGCTGGAAAATCGCCAGCCGTTGGATGAAGCTGTGGAATCAAATCGGAGCGCTGGGGGCGTGCCACGTGTCTTTCACCCGTTGGGCTGGCGTCGCTCTGACGTCAGCGCATGCTGGTCCAACTTTTCCCCCCCCCCCCCCCGTCGCGTGTGGGGCGGGGGGCGGAACTTGCCTTCGGGCCAGCCCGGGTTGGTGGGTCCCACACCCCCCCGGGCCTGGGCTGCTTCGCTGGAACGCATTTTTTTTTTTTTCCCCCTACCCTCGGGCTGGGCTCATGGATGGACTTGGTCTAAGTAGCAAACAGCAGCAACATAAATTGGTATCATGAACATATTCCACCAAAAGAGAAATGGGTATCAGAAATTTTACCAAATTGGTACATACAAAGGCCAATAGGGAGGCAAACATAAATAACATTTCTTCCATTACAAAATTGATATAAATAGAATCTTAGTTCCAAAAGGTAAATATAAATTGAATCTCTTGGTCACGAAACTCCCTACTCTAGCAGCCACGCCTGAAACTATCAATTCACTTCACTCTGTGCTCTCTCTGACGCATTATCAGCTTCTCAACAATGGCGGCCGTTGCTCCACCCTCCTCTTCCTCCTCAAAACCCTATCCTTTCCCTGTCTCTTCCAAATCCTCAAAACCCATTTCCAGATTCACCCTCCCCTTCTCTCCTCATCCCCAAAAACCCACTTTCCTCCGCCACCTCCAAATCTCTAACTCTCTCTCCTCCAAGACCGCCACCACCACCATCACCACTACTAACCCTCCAGACCCAGAAACCAAAATTTCCCGATTTGCCCCTGACGAGCCCAGAAAAGGCGCCGACGTCCTCGTTGAGGCGCTCGAGAGGCAAGGCGTGACCAATGTATTCGCCTACCCTGGCGGCGCGTCCATGGAGATCCACCAAGCCCTCACGCGCTCCTCTACCATCCGCAACGTCCTCCCGCGCCACGAACAAGGCGGCGTGTTTGCGGCAGAGGGCTACGCGCGTGCGTCGGGACGTCCGGGCGTGTGCATTGCAACCTCCGGGCCCGGCGCAACAAACTTGGTCAGCGGACTCGCCGACGCGCTCATGGACAGCATTCCGGTGGTGGCAATCACCGGCCAAGTTCCCCGAAGAATGATCGGTACGGACGCGTTCCAGGAGACCCCAATTGTTGAGGTAACAAGATCAATCACCAAGCACAATTATCTTGTTCTTGATGTAGAGGACATTCCTAGGGTTGTTAATGAGGCCTTTTTCTTAGCTACCTCGGGTCGACCCGGCCCCGTCTTGATTGATATACCCAAAGATGTGCAACAACAGCTTGTGGTTCCCAATTGGGATCAACCCATTAGGTTACCTGGGTATATGTCTAGGTTGCCCAAGACCCCCAATGAGGATCATTTGGAGCAGATTGTGAGGTTGGTGTCTGAGTCCAAGAGACCAGTGTTGTATGTTGGTGGCGGGTGTTTGAACTCCAGTGAGGAGTTAAGGCGGTTCGTGGAGCTTACTGGGATCCCGGTTGCCAGTACTTTGATGGGTCTCGGGGCATACCCGTGCAACAATGAAGAATTTTCACTCCAAATGCTTGGAATGCATGGGACTGTTTATGCTAATTATGCTGTGGATAAGTCTGATTTATTGCTCGCATTTGGGGTGAGGTTTGATGACCGTGTTACCGGGAAGTTAGAGGCCTTTGCTAGTCGGGCTAAGATTGTCCACATTGATATTGATTCGGCAGAGATTGGAAAGAATAAGCAGCCGCATGTGTCGGTTTGTGCTGATGTCAAATTGGCGTTGGAAGGATTGAATAGGATATTGGAGGGGAAAGAGAGCAACGTCCAACTTGATTTTTCGGCTTGGAGGGCAGAGCTGAAAGAGCAGAAAGTGAAGTTTCCATTGGGTTTCAAGACTTTTGGAGAATCCATTTCTCCCCAGAATGCCATTCAGGTTCTTGATGAGTTAACTGATGGGAATGCGATTATAAGCACTGGTGTTGGGCAGCATCAAATGTGGGCAGCTCAGTTTTACAAGTATAAGAGGCCTCGCCAATGGTTGACATCTGGGGGATTAGGAGCTATGGGTTTTGGATTGCCTGCTGCTATTGGGGCTGCCGTTGCAAACCCGGATTCTATCGTTGTTGATATCGATGGTGATGGAAGTTTCATTATGAATGTCCAGGAACTGGCCACCATCAGTGTGGAGAAACTTCCCATTAAGGTTTTGCTGTTGAATAATCAACATTTGGGTATGGTTGTGCAATGGGAGGATCGCTTCTATAAGGCTAACAGGGCTCACACTTACTTAGGGAACCCATCAAATGAATCTGAAATATTCCCGAATATGCTGCAGTTTGCAGATGCTTGTGGGATACCGGCTGCCCGTGTGACGAAGAAGGAAGATCTTAAAGCAGCAATTCAGAAAATGTTGGACACTCCCGGTCCGTACTTGTTGGATGTAATCGTACCCCATCAAGAGCATGTCCTGCCTATGATTCCAAGTGGTGGTGCTTTCAAAGACGTGATAACTGAGGGTGATGGGAGATCAAGTTATTGATTTCTTGGCCAGCATCCGTTTTTCACGCCTAAGAGTGTAAGTTAGAGGTGTACTTAAAAAAAATCTTTAGTTTTTCTACTAGTGTTGTTTGAACAAGTTCTACTTTGAGTAATTATGAAGTATGTTTTGAGTTCCTTAGCTTAAAGTCATGTGTTGTGTCTGCTATCTCGCGTTTCACTTATGTCAATTCAATTTTATACAAGTATCGTTCAAATTTTTTATGTGTTTATTTTGTTTGGCCAGTGGAATTGACAGAAACCACAGGCAGAAGATGACAGACCATGGTTGTTAAGGTCTCCTTTAAAGCATTTTTTTTTCTTTTTTCGAATTAGATTTCAGGAATCGAATGACATAAGACCAGTATTTTTTACCCAGGAAAGAATAAAATAAGACCAGTATTTTTTAAATGAACATACGTGTTCTTCACGGTACAACCACTTAGGTAGATATTTTATTTTTGCTGAATTAATTCCTTGTTACCTCTAGATATAGGGCCATGTGGAGAGTTTCAAACTTCCAAGTTCTGGTTCCTACTTATAGTTCCTACTTATATGCCAAATCCTTGAACCATTAATCCAACCAACTCTATCCTTCAGGATCTTAACACAGGGAAACTGGTCATGCAATGATGCTATTTATACGGATCTAAATTACTCAGTTTTTCTCCACACCTTTATTCACGGATAGATTTTCGATATCGTATTATCATTGTCAATAACATGTCAATATACAATATCATTGTCAATAACATGTCAATAACAAAATGTGCATAACATGTTATCGATCCATTATCGACAATATATTCACCATGGAGAATTTCTGCTAAATGAGTCGCATCTTTTGATGGCTTTTCTGAAATGATCTTGATTTATTTTCTTAAAAACTAAAGTGAGTTTGACTCTTTCAAAGCTTCCATAACACGTCGAGTCCTCACCAGTTGAATTCTAGAATCCAAATCCCCAATATGAGATAAAGGGCAGAATATATGAAGCATGTCTTAGTTCCTTTCTTAAGGCCTTCGGCAACATCCATTAACCTAACTTGCTGAAATAAAATGGGGCTCAGTTTAATACTTAGGGTGTTTTACTCTCTGCGCATAACTGATCTGCGGGATGCCCTATGGGTTTCTTGCATTCAAATGTCTAGACTAGTTAATGTCTTGTCCAAATCTCGGCACAGTTTCAGTTGTCCCAGCCACTGACATTACTAGCAAATACAACCATAAAGATCATGCAAACTCAAGTAAAACTCAAAACAGCCCTAGTTCTATCGGATCCTGGACATTGGTAGCAAATACCTAATTCATAAAGCAGAATTTGGAATAGCCCCAGTTCTACCAACCCAGAGAACCGGTTGGATCTTGAAGACAGGAGATACAAGGTGCCTGCTAATTTGATTAACATGCATAAGCTTAATCAACACAGCCCATCAAATTCAGCATTTCATTATCATTTGGCCATTATCATCCTGGCTGCTCTTTTTATGGTTAAAGAGCGCCACGAAAAGTTGGTAAACCAAATCCAGGGCATCAAAATTTAAATTGAAAGAAAAAATATGCGGTCTCAATTATGGAAAACTAGAAAGTGCATGTATCATGGTTTTACAGAAATAAAGCAAACGTATCTCAAAAGGAACCAAACGAGAACTAAAAGCTACTGCTTTCTTAGTGAATTCAAGTTGCTGCACCTATCATCTTTCTAACTTCAGCACACGACCTGCAATTATATAAAAAAGAAAAATCAGTCAACAATCCACATTTTACTCTACAACCAAAGATAAGAACTAGTTATTAAAACCCTACTATCTAAAATATTGTAGTAAAATGACACTAATATCAATAGACATTACTAAATCCACAAAACATTTAACAAACCAAAATCGTTCAAGACAGATGGATATTGTTCAAGTTTGGTTGCGCATGTAATCAATGCTTGAGTTAACTGCGCTGGGTTTGATATCCAACTCTATGATATACACATGAGGCAGTAGAATACAACACAACATGGTAAAGCCAGAACTCAAACTTCTCAATCATGCCACAAGAAGAAAATCTTCCTATTATAACATCCCCTAGTCTACATAGGAAAAACCAATGGCCAATTACCCCAAACCCTAGAATTACTCATAATGTGATGAAACACTCAAAAGTTCAAACCCATGCGCCAAAAACCTAAACCAAAACTTGATAAGAACTTCAAAATTAGAGACCCTTTGAAACATATTGTATATGCCAGCTCCATATTTTGGATTCGTTCATAAAATTGAACAAAAAACACAATTTGACATTCAATTTTGCAAGTGCCCAAGACAAATTGATCTGAATCCTAATATCCAAAGACTCGTATTTAACCAAAAAAAAAAAACATAATTCAAATGAAATTCTTGGTAAAATTACGGACAAAAAATCAAGTAGACATCAAATGCATGCAAATTAATCTCAATAATTCAATCAATGAATTCGATCAGACGAAGATTCAGATATAATTCCATACCTAAACAGATCCAACAATGATGTTGTTGATGGGGATGAAGATCAGCTTCACGAAGAACCCAACGAATCCCATCACTACGAACCCGATCGCTGTACGGAGCGCCACCTTCGTGAACTCTGCACCACAATTGACCATCAAATCCATCAATTACAGATAACAGAACCAAAAACCCTAATTTCTATAAAACCCGATCTGGAATAACACAGATCTGAATATTTATACGTATAAGTTACCCTTGCGATCAGGCTTGTGGCACCGCTTGACGAGCCGAATGCTGTCCTTGGAGAACTCTCTGAGCGGATCCACTACTGAATCTATGGCGTCCATTTTCTCTGAGCAAATTGGGTGAGAGAGAGAGAGAGAGAGAGATGTAGGAAACGGAGACGTAGTCGAAGACAAAGTTAAGAAGCGTTTAGGACAGTGGTCAAAAATGGAGGATTTTTATTTGTTTTCAAAGCTTCATTTTGTTTCTTTTTTTAGGCCGATGAAAATTCAAAGGGGCCCAATTTGGAAAGAAATTCATCCGAAGTCGGCCCAAATACATAGAGTGGCCTTTAGCCTAAGGCAACAATTGCATAAGCCCAAACAGAGAAAATCTTGAGGCCGTTCGAACACAACGGAGACGACAAGTGATCTCTGGTTACCATGAATGAGAGAGAACGAGAGAAAATGAGAGAATTAATAAAAAATAATTAATGAGAGAGGAAAGTAGTTAAAAATCTTAATTGAAATGCTTTTAGAATTGAAATAATTAATGACTCGTACACTCTTGCTTCTGTTTTATGTTCTCCCCTTCCCTTTTCTTGCAGGATTT